CTTTTTCTTTTTACAGTTCAGTTAAGGACCTAAAATTCTTCGTGAATATCTGGTTTCAATACATGCACATTTATTTCACAGGGGCATTGGATTTTAATGGATGTCTCTATGTACAAAAAAATATGAGATAACTTCATTGTGATGCTCTCTGTTCATGCACTGCACATTAGGTATTCAACGTGAACATATTTGCAGCATATCTGTTGCTCTCTGTGGCTTTGATTGGCGATCAACCAGGACCTGTGTGAAAAGAAGACTAATGAAACACTGCCTCTGGCATGCCCGTCTCCCAACAGTTTTTTCATACTTGTTGGCCTCTATTTAGGAAAAACAAAAAAAACAACTATTTTTTTCTGTTGCACTGTGTTTTGTGAGGTGGCAGCTTTCATATGCAAATGATTGTATCCAGCCCAACTTCCCAAATCCGAGTGTGACAATGAAAATGACTGGGATCCTGATGGTTTCTGCCTCATCCTTCCTGTCTCATGGTTAGCATCTGTCCACCCCCTTGAGGTCTGACACCCATTACACTCTGTCTCCATGTGTCAGCATAGACTTTTGTACTTCACGGTTATCAAGCAGGTCATAGCTTTGGCTCCTAAATACAACCGGCAGGCAGAGATCAGAGGAAGAGTGATTGAATGACAGCAGTTTGATCAAAGTGCACGAACACAAACACACACACTCGGGAAACCCTCGTTTCCCCTGAGTACTTGGAGATATTTCGTGACGGCTCCATTAGATGAAAGACCCCACCAAAAATCCTGCACATGTGCCTTCTCAGCTTCTTCAGCAGCAGGTGTGATAGCGAGCGAATGATAGGAGAGATGTGAGCTGGAGGGAGAGTGAGATCTCATCTTATTTCATTTCGGTTTCTACTGTTTAGAAGAAGTATGGGTACTCTTGCACAGCATGCTTCTCTTTTCATGGCGAGCAGGTTGTTTGTTTTGGTGGGCAGACTGCCTTAATGAGGGCAGGGGGTAGAGCGAATGGGAGGGAGGGCCTCGCTTTAAAGGGATGATTAGAAAAAGTAGAGTTGAGAGCAAATTCCTCTGAAGACAAACGCTGACCAAAAATACACACGTGTCTTTGAGGAATACCGATTCAAACTGAGAAACGTGGCAAAGTCCTCGCCACTTTGTCTGACATCATCTTTGCTTCGTGCTGTCTGATGCGGCCCCAAATGTGCGTCACTCGGTCCTGAGGTCCTAATTAAAACCCAAACCAAAATGATAGCGGTTGGTTCGGCGGAAGAAGCCTGTGAACGTCTTAGCGTGCTCAGATCCACAGCCAGCCAGTGTCCTGGTGTGGGAGAGATCTGGTCACCGTGGGCATGAGACAGACTGTATTATCTGCTCAGCAGCCGCCTGGCTCAAGAGATTGCTCGGCGGAGGGATGGGCGGTTAGGCAACAGGATAAGATATGTCCTCCTTTGGTGTCAGAGACTGAGTTGATGCCATTTGATATTTGCGTGTGTTGGAATACGGGCTGACAACTTAATTCTCATGAAAACAGGCACTGTTCACTAATCACAAAAGTATCCCATGACTGTCATGAGCCTGACATGGGTTTTCCAGTGATTTTTGTGACATTTAGGGGTGTGCACCTTTAGCTGTGGGAGAGGGCAGCGGTGACCTTATCTGACACTGCCAACAGCAGACACATCAAAAGACAAATAACAGAGGAAAACCACGAGACACCAAGCAGACGTAAGGATAAACGGGTACGGGCAACGCCGTTAAATCATGGTGCACACTGCTGGCATTGCTTTAGATGTCGTGGTTTCAGGGGTAGAGTTCAGCAGCATGAATCACGGATGTTGCTGCTGGAAGTCAGTCCCCCGTGAGGACGGATGGCAAAAGTAACTTTTTCTAATGTCTGTGTTATGTGCCTTAATATTAATTGTTGTTTTCTCTTCCTCTCTTGCAGGTATTCCTAGTAACATTGGTCCAGTTAGTAAGTAAACAGTTACAAGTAAACAATAAGACTGCTTGATGCTTTGCTTTGCCTACTCTTCACCGTACACCCCTAAACCCATTGCCAGGTGTTCATTTCTGATTCCAATCTTGTGAAAAATCACTCAGCAATTGTCGACTAACCTTTTTTTTTGTGGTTAGGGGGAGGGATAAGCCATAGCTGGGGGCTATATTGTCATAATGTGGGCATATTAATTTACTTTATCCTGATTCAACTCGACCAGATAATACTTGCCTGGCTCTGCATGGCAAATGTCATTTGTTTTTTTTCCCCCCCTCCTTCTCTCCCATGCATTATAAATAAATGGCATCTAGACTTTATTAAAGTGCCAAGACCTCTCTGACAGTGTAATGTCACAGGAGGTCATTTTAATATAAGCCGCAAGCGCCTCGGCTGGTATTATCTTCGTCAAACAGTAGCCCCTCAGGAGGAGGAGGAGGAAGAAGAGAGGTGCCATGTCTCAAGTTACCGCTGCCTGGAAGGCTGTGTGATGCAGGAAACATAGGACTGTATTGAACAAGTCAAAGTGCATTCACAGCCTGGCTCAGTTCGCCTTAATCTTTTTTCTTTTTTTTTTTCCATCGCCCTGTTCTTCATGAGTATCCTCTATTCCCGGGGCAGCGGATTGATTAATAAATTGCCCCCTCCATGATGAAGTTACCTGTTAAATTAAGATCAACAGCATTTTTCAATATTTCTAATTATTTGTGAGCTCTTTTTAAGCTCAGTAGTAAATTGTTTTCATTTAATATCCAATTGTGTGCTCAAGCCAACCCAAGGTTCCCCAAAGGACACATGTGTGCTTGTCTTGTTTTTATCATTTAAAGGCTAAGACGACTTCTGGGCAAGTTTCCTAAAACGTGCTGCGAGCGACGTAGGGATTGTTCCCGGGTGGTTATTAATCAGGCTTTAGTGTGGTAGCTTACTCAGTAAGTGAACACTTGTTATAAAGTCTGATGCTATGACGTCATGAGTCAGAAATGGACATGTGGCCAAGACGACCAATTTCACCCCCCCACCCCACCCTAACCCAACTACAGTCTTCCACTGCTTGCCTCCGAATTGTGCTTCGTTTTCATGCACGGCATTATTAGTGCTTAGCGTGTGTGGGCATGCTCTTCATACATGCTGTGTACACGTACATATTCACTGCTGCACATCCATCCTCTCCGTCCCTTCCAAAATGCCAGGCCAGACCATGTCCAACGGCTGTCCTCAAATCAGGGCGGGTGTGCATGCCGATAAGTGCGTGTGTGTGTGTACGTGTGTGTGTTTTGGGGAGGGGGGATGGGCGATGTAGAAAGGACACTCTGACAAACCAAAGTCTTCGTTTCTCATCCAGATTGGCCCACGGGGATTTAGATTTCTCACGAGTGGCTGTCTTGTTGCAGCAGCCTTCCACAGAACCAACAAAACACAATAAAATGAAACATGCTGACTGTCTTATTTTTTAAGCACACTGAAGAGGATGAGGCCATTTTCAGCGCAAACACAAACCAACGTTAAGTCGCATTATTAATAAAGTAAGAACAGGCTAAGGGGGGAAAAAGGTTACGATGTCCTTGAGGTTTGTTTTTTTTTTAAGGATTGGAAACAAAGCTACTGTTTGGGGGAGAAAAAACAAAGCCCTCCACTTTTTATGTTGTTTTTTGAAGGTAATTGAATTCCTTATTGACTTTCCTCAATTCTATTTCAAGTTTATTAAGCCAGGCAGAATTGCCTAATGCAGACCATTAAAGTGAAATTAATATTTTAAAAAACAATTCTGGCTCTGCAAGATTGCATTTCATTATAAGTATGGCATTGATTAAAATCCGTCACCACTCATTTCACTCCTGAATATTCCCCATAACAAAATAATTAATGGAACCTAGATGTGCATTACATCCCGTCAGTTGCCAACACAGAAACCCTGTTTCCAAAAAAATGAAAAAAAATAAATGCAAGTTTGGGAAATGTGTAAAATGAAAATAAAATTATTGTTATGATTATAAACTATATTTCACTGAAAGTGGTACAAAGACAATAAATTGAGACTTTCTGGAGCTGTATTATCTTCACGAAATAAGCAAAACCTTCCCTAGAGAAAATAAAATGCCAGCATTGTTGCTTAAGAACCTATATGTATTGTTTAACATTCATAGCATTACTTTATAAATTTACAAAGTACCCAGTGCATGAAGGCTGGATTTTGGACTGTGCACAGATAACATTAAATGCCTGACCTCAGCTCATCTTAAATGAGCTCAGGT